CCGATCACGAGGGTGTCCAATCACAGGTTTTCCATTACAACTTTTTTTAATAGGCCATTTCCGAGTTACCTTGTGCCTCTGTTTCAAAACGAGTCTCGTGGAAAAACCCTTCTCATGAAAATAAGTTTAAAGGACGGTGCCTACTAGATACAAAGGTTTTTGCGCCAGGTTAGGACCACGCGGAAAAAGTAGATCTTTGCAAGGGCTATTAGAATCCACCAAGAAAAACTGGGGGAGCCCCGCTTTTTTTCGAGATAATTAGCCTTGAATCTCAACAAAAATGCTAACATCAGCCTTTTTCTGAAAAAAGAAGGAAAGGATATTTCTTCACAGATTTCCTCAGAATTCGCCTTTTCATACGGAGAAGTAAACAAGTTTATAAGATCTTAAAAATACATGGTAAATGGTAACCTAAAAACCGTTTTTGGTATGTTTTTAATAACAAAGGCGTTGCCAAAGCGCTTTTAGCGTCTCTGACATGCTTGTTCTGGTTCAGCTTAAATACTGTCTAAATATCTTTCGCTCACAACCAGAAACTAATCACTTGTTGAATAGGGTTGCCATTTCTATTGCATAACATAAAATGTAGGGGTAACCACGCCTTTTTTAAAGTTGATCTGTTTTGAAAAGTTTTACCGTGCCTGTTACTTTTTTTCCTGTCACCTCTGCGGTAAGTAAACCAGTAGGTTATCTCGCACTTGTTTTGCGCGCGCACTACGCCATCTGCAGGTACATGTTTACAGTTGGATTTCAGCATAATTTTCGACAGGTAACAGCTAGTTTGTCAGCTGGAAGACGTTAACAGTTAGTGGTTAGCGATAAACTGCTATTTTGGTGTTCCTCGTTTAAGTACAGGTTCATTAAACTTGATTTGGCCACGGCAGAAAAATTTTGCTTTCATTTTAGTCGTGTATTTGGTAGCATAGTTGATTGCGTCAATGTCAACCGAGCGCGCCCATTGTGCTTGAACCATATTGTCTTGCGTGATGCGCAGAACGTGTGACAAAAGTAGGCATCGTCCTTAAGGCGGCGAAATACGAGATACAAAAACCCTTAACTCGTCTGGCAACATTGTTTCGTTCCAAGTTTTGGGTCGATGCTTCGCGTTTTTCACCTTGCGTGATCAGCTTGTCACGCAACAAAAACATTTGCTGCAGGTTGAAGATAGTTTTGTGAAAAGTAGAGCGCGGGTCTACTTTGCGCAACAGATTTTAATCAAACTCACCACTTGTCACGCAACAAATTTGCTCATGTTGCGCGACAAGTTGAGGGTTCCTGTGTCTCGTATTTCGCCGCCTTTAAGGCTCAGTTCATACGTAGCATTTCTGCCGTGTCGAATTCAATTCAATTAAGTGCGGCAGAAATGCGACTGTGGATTCATACGTCGCACTTGTGTCGCACTTAATTCAGAATTTACACTGTCGGGTATGTCGGCCAGCGGAAAATGTCTTGAGCGTAGATTATTCAATTTGGCGGACGAAAATACTGAGGGACGAAGGACTTTAATTTTGCGAAAAATTGTCCGTCAATGGAACGCGAAGGAGAAGGCTGACAACGGAGCAGTATGTGTTGCAATATGGCCAAGTTTCTTCTTTTTATTTGGCGGGAAAACATTTACGCATGCTCAATACATTAGCATAATGTATGCATTAGGTTCGACACGGCAGAAATTCGACGTGTGAATCGGTGTCGCATTTCTGTCGGATAATGCGACAAGACCAGTCGAACGTGCGGCAGAAATGCGGCAGCCGATTCAGACGTCGAATTTCTGTCGGATTTAATTCGTTGAATTGAATTCGACACGGCAGAAATGCGATATATGAACCGGGCCTAAGATGGCTTACTACAGTTTTTCGGAGACTCAGTAGCGCGCGCTATAATTGCTTCCCAGACGTCGGTATCAATCGTGCGTGTACAGATGAAGCAAGAAACCCTAAGAAGAAACGAAAACCACTTCAGCACTTGAAAGGCGTTAAATCACTTCGGCAAACGAAGCAATAGTTTCAAACTCCGTTCAAACATGTGTTTAAGCCTAAGGCCAAAACATATGAGAAAACCTACCGTACCGTAGGGGTGAATCACGTTTAGAGCCAAAATTTTAAAAACTCTGTAAGACAGATTTTGAGCTATTTTTGATTTCACATTTTCTTAGTTTGCGAAAAATCTGTCTTGCAGATATTTACTTTACTTTGCATGAATGTTAAATCAGAGCCAATCCCTTATTCCTGAAATGTTTAGGTGGGGTCATACGGGTAGATTTTGAGAAAACCGTAATTTAAACTACTAGTGCCCAGTATCTCCGAAGGTACTCAGTCGTTTATTTTGGCCATTTGTTTAATTTGTTTAACTGTTCAAGTTTCACATAGAATGGTAAAAGACTTAAGCAAAAAGTAACCAGAGAAAAGAAAAACATGTTGGAACATTTTTCAAAGCAGTTAGAAGTTGGGCTGTTATAATCCATGAAAACTGTAGTAAGCCACCTTAAACTTGATTTGGTCACAGTACGAAAATTTTGCTTCCATTTTAGTCATGTGCTTGGTAGTATCAGTGCCAACCTTAGCCGTATTTTGTCGAACTCTATATGCCATGCTATGCCCGTGCCATGTCATCCCATGCCATGCCATGCTATGCCTTGTCGTACTTTAATGATCCCTCGGGCATTCACCCCGAAACTTGATCCATTGTGGGTTGCATGTTTTTAGTAACATAGGAAACTCTAGGTGCACTGCAATGGTTTATTATACCCCGGAAAACGAACACATTTATTGACTAATGACTAGAGGCTTAAGGACTCACTCTTTGATGCAGAGATGGTTACTGTGAGACGTAGGTTCGGATTTGCTTGAATGCGACGGTCCACTAACAGTGACTGATAGAGAGACATTCGTTGATGCACTTGTCGAGAATACACTTTGGCTCTCAGTTTGCGAGACATTACTGGATACCTTAGCTGTTTAAAAAGAACCAATAAAAAGCTGAGGCAAGCAGGATATGTTAGTATTTAGACACTTGATGGTAGAAACGTCTTGAATCATTCAATAATAGCATTACTAATAGTAATTGGACCGAGTGGGGTACAATTCAGCGAGAAATCGCGCGAGGCCGATTTGAAATCACGAGCACGATTTCTCCCCGAATTGTACGACCCGAGGTCCAATTATCAATTAACCGTGTCTATAACAAATTTCGGAATTAAAAGTGCGTTTTGAGAAATTCTTTTAAGCGAACACGTCTGTAGCGCTTTTCATAAATTTTGAAAACTGTAGGACACATTGCGAAGGAAGCCATTAAAGCGCGCGTAATTGACGTGCAAATCAGGTGGGTATCCAATTACAGGTATCCAATAATAAAAAGTTCAAATTGGATACCTGCAATTGGATACCCACGTGATTGCGCGCCGATTACGTGACAAATAAGCGCGTGGAGAACCAATCGCGATCGAGAGTTTTGTTATAAATATGATAATAGGCTGAGGCTAATGCATTTACTCTAGATCCCCTGTGAGTTCTTATTACGTCTTCCAAAAAAGTATTCCACATTATAATTATAGCCGGAGGAAAATAAAAAGGCGAATATTGTAAACGCTCCGAATTTGGCAATGCGGTCCTATAAGTTGGACTTCCCACAAAATACATTCGGGCAATAAGTTTTTCTAAACATCTCACGAGCACACACACACACACACAAAACAATTCGGTGTAAAGTGCAGTATTTTTCTTCACGAGTGGCAAAACGTTCCCAGATGCGAAATAAAAACTGAAAAAAAGTATTTGTAGCTTTTGCAGGCGCGTTAAGCGAGAATGGATCACAAAAAGCCATCGCTTTCTCTGCAGTGGTTCATACGAGCCACATGAATAAATACTTCGTAGAATTGATTTCTTCGCTCCGTATCGAGGACGCGTACGAGCGACCCGCAGATAGGATCCATAAAATTACTTCTTCAATAAGAACCGAAAAAACTGCATTAAAAACTACCTACGTTTCAACTCGTCACGTTTGGAAAGTGACAACGACATTTCCTCGCTCACTCGATGTATATTAAAGCTTTGAAGCAGTTTTCAAAAACCATTGACGTGTGTATTTCAGGTCATACAAAAGAAAAAAAAAAGCTAGTATTTTCCAATGGTATCTTTCACGCTCAAAATGTGACGGAACACATTGATAGTTAATAATTATACCAATACACGTCAAACGATAGCTGGCTCCATAAAATACGTTTTCTAGCTTCTTGCTGAACCTTTAAGACCTAGCAACAGCCCTCACTGGTTCGCTTGCCTAAAGATAATCGATTGACTCATACAGAGAAAGATAACAACTCACTCACTGACGAGAAAGTGTTCTGATTCAAGAACGAAGAGAAACTTGACGTAAAGTAACCATTTTGACTGGACATTTCTGCAATTGCACATTTACTTATCGCCAAAGACAGAGTTGGGCTTGATGTTAGTGGGACAACGATTGATATATTATCTGACTGCCTAGACACACTGAGAGTGAATGACGCCGACTCGATTGAAATCAAAGATATACTCTGGCTAACATTTGCAGTTATATTCTGGTATGCTGTAAAACGTGACAATAAAATCTGCGTTAGATTTTCAAGGAATAGCAAAACCTCTGCGCTGCATTCTTGCAATAATTTCATGCATAGACTGCAAACCCTAATATATGCAATTCAATTCTCTAGCAAATTTAAACATGTAAGATGCCGAGGATGTGGTACTACAGGGACAATAACATACAGGGGAGCTAAAAGAGGCAGGTTGCAGTGGTCGTTAACGTGTAGAAGAATGGAGAAGTGCTGGATACACTGACTGCACCACTCGTTGTGTGATATAGCAACGAAGTCCTAAGTAGTCCGAAGAAGTCCGAAGTAGGATTCCAAGGAAAACTACACATAGGGGTGGCATCAATCATACTGTATGAAGCTAGAAAGATCACAGAATGTAGTTCAACACTAAATATGATCGACGTTAATGTTCTGAAACTGCTCTAAAAAGCCTTGATCGATGAAAATCAGGCCACGCGAAAACAAAAATGCTAATACGTATATAAAGTGCCTTTGATGTTTGACACGGAATGTTACTGATTACATTAATTTTAATAGCTATTCCAGTACCAGCCCCCCATGTATTCAATCCCATATATTTTCTAAATTATTGCTGCGCCTTTAAAATAAAGCAGCGACTTTTGCTAGTAACCCTCCTGGTTCGCACTTCGACAAAGAATCTTCTGACTTATGCAAAGAAAGTAATTGACTCACTCATTAACGAGGAAGCGCTCTGAGTCACGAACGAAGAGAAACTCGACGAAAAGAAACCACCCTGACTGAACACTTTTGTTACTGCTGACGTTCCTGTCGTCAAAGGTAGAGTTGGCGTTGGTGTTAGTGAGAGACCTACTGATATATTGTCTGATTGGCTAGACACAGTGGGCCTGAATGATGTGGACTCTGTTGACGACGGCGACGTACTTTGGTTAAGAGTTGAAATGATAGTCTGGGGTACTGCAAAATATGAGAACAAAATCTGCATTAGGTTTTCAACTAAAAGGTAAAAGACTCTGCATTGCTGGAATTCTTTTACGTATAGACGGCAAATCTTCAAATAAATATTTTCAATTCTCCAAGAAATTTTGGCTCTGAAATGCTTCTCTCGACACGCATACTTACACGACATGTAAGATGTGGAAGTTGCTGGGTTGCAGGGACAATAACATACAGAGGAACTCAAAGAGGCAGAAGAACTAGTTGTATTGTTTCCATCGATCGTTGCGTTGTAGAAGATTTGAGAACTCTGGTCAGAGGGGCCGGATGAAATGACTCCGCCACTCGTTGAATGGTATAGCGACGGCGTACTTTGTGACGTCGTTGAAGTAGAACCACAAGGACAAATACACAGAAAAGTCACATCAACCATACTGGAAGAAGCTAAAAAATATCACAGAATACAATTCAACACTAGATGTGATGGACAATAATGGTCTAGAGCAGTCCCAAAAAGCCTTGATCGATGCATAACAGGCCCACCCCAATCAAGAGCAAAAATTACCTCGTGTGGTATCTTTGACGCTTGGCACGGATAGTCACTGATCACATTGATTTTGAATAATTATCCCAATATAAAACCCCTCCCGCCGATTCAATAACCTATATTTTGTAAATTTCTGCCAGATTTTTGAGATGAACCACGCCCCTTCCAAATTTGCTGGTTCACTTGTTAAAAGAGAATCGACCGACTCATGGAGAAAAACTTAACGACTCACCCATTGACAAGGAAGCTCCCTGACTTAAGTACGTCGTGAAACTGGACGAGACCAAATCACCCTGACTGGTCAATTCTGCAACTGCTGACGCACTTGTTGCTAGAGACAGAGCTGGGCTTGGGTTAAGTGACACGCTGGCTGATATATTTTGCGATTGGCTAGACACTTTTGACTCGGTTACAGACGGCGACATACTTTGAGTAATATTTGCCATGATATTCTCTGATGCTGGAAAAGATGGGAACAAAAACTGAGTTAGTAATTCATTGAATAACTTGGATGATGCTGCAGTACTTCTTTTACATTACCCATAGGCTTCCAACTCTCATAGCATTTTTCACGTTTCAGCTCGGTAGGAAATTTTGGCTGTGAGCTAATCTCTTTCGATACGCATACTTATGCAACATGTAAGATGTCGAAGATGTTGTGCTGCAGGGGCGATATCATACAGAAGAGCTCAAAGAGACAGAGGCACTAGTTGTACTGGTTGCAGTGGTTGTTAAGATGTAGAAGAATGGAGAACTACGGCCAGAAGTGCTGGATGTGCTGATTGCACCACTAATTGAATGATATAGCAACGAAATACTTTGTGATGTCGTTGAAATAGGATTGCAAGGCCAAATACACATAGGGGTGGCATCAATCATACTGGAAGAAGCTAAAAAGATCACAGAATATAATTCAACGCTAAATGTGATGGACATTAATGAAAAGTTCTAAAGTCATCCTAATTAGTCTTGATGGATGCAAATAAGGCCACACGAAACAATTGCTAATATTTACATAAAGTACCTTTGACGTTTTACACGGATTGTCAGCGATTACGTTAATTTTAAATAACTATTTCAATACCAGCCTCCCACCGGTCTGACACTGATATTTTCTAAATAATTGCTTAGCCTTTAAATAATGCAGTGGCTTTTGATAGTTATATTCCTGGTTCGTCCTTCGAATAGGAATCCACTGACTTACGCAAACAAAATTATAGCTGATTATTGACTTACTCATTAACGTGGAAGTGGTCTGAGTCACTTCCGAAGAGAAACTCGAAGAGAAGAAACCACCTTGACTAGACACTTCTGTAATTGGTGACGCTCTTGTCGTCGAACGTAGAGCAGTCGTTGGTGTGAGTGAGACACCGACTGACATATTGTCTAATTGGTTAGACACATTGGGTCTGATTGATGTGGAGTCTGTTGGGGACGGCGACATACTTTGGGTAAGAGTTGATATGATAGTCTGGAGTGCTGCAAAATATGAGAACAAAATCGGCATTAGGTTTCCAGCGAAAAGCTAAAAGACTCTGCATTGCTGAAATTTTTTCATGTATAGACGGCAAATCTTCAAATAAATATTTTCAATTCTCTAAGAAATTTTGGCTATGAAATGCTTCTCTCGACTTGCATAGTTACACGACACGTAAGATGTTGCAAATGCTGTGTTGCAGGGACAACAACAAACAAAGGAACTCAAAGAGGCAGAACAAGAATGGTCTAGGGCAGTCCCAAAAGGCCTTGATCGATGCAAAACAGGCAACTCGAATGAATCACGCTAATAACTTCAAGTGGTATCTCTGACTTGTGACACGGATTGTCAGTGATCACATAGATTTTGAATAACTATCCCTATATAAGTCCCTCCCGCCTATTCAAAAACCGATATTTTCTTAATCTCTGAGAAAGAGCCACGCCCTTTCCAGGTGTGCTGGATGTACTGATTGCACCACTCGTTGAATGATATAGCAAAGAAGCACTTTTTGATCTCATTGAAGTAGTATTGCAAGGACAAATACACATGGGAATGGCAGCAATTATACTGGGAGAAGTTAAAAAGATCACAGAATACAATTCAACGCTAAATGTGATGGACATTAATGAAATGTTCTAAAGTCAGCCTAATTAGTCTTGATCGATGCAAATAAGGCCACGCGAGAAAAATTGCTAATATTTACATAAAGTACCTTTGATGTTTTACACGGATTATCAGCGATTACATTAATTTTAAATAACTATCCCAATACCAGCCTCCCACCGATCCAACACTTATATTTTCTAAATAATTGCTTAGCCTTTAAATAATGCAGTGGCTAATAAATATGATGGACATTACTGTTCTGTAGCCGCCATAAAAAGCCTTGATCGATGCAAATCAGTAGAGCAATCAAGTACCTTTGATGTTTGACACGGATTGTCACTGATTACATTAATTTTAAGTAATTATCTCAATACCAGCCTGTCATCGACTCAATCACCTATATATTCTAAATTATTGCTGGGCCTTTAGAAACAAGCAGCGGCTTTTGCTGGTTACCTTCCTGTTTCGTCCTTCCAATGAGAATCCACTGACTTATGCAAAAAAAGTTATTGACTCGCCTCATTAACGAGGAAGCCTTCTGAGTTACAAACGAAGGGAAACTCGACGAGAAGAAACCACCCTGACTGGACACTTCTGTAATTGCTGACGCCCCTTCCTTCTTTGCTACGTTACTTGTTGAAAGACATTCGACTGACGAATGGAAAGAACGTTAACGACTATCTCATTGACGAGGAAGCGTTCTGACTCACGTACGTCGAGGCACTGGACGAGATCAAATCAACCTGACTGGTCAATTCTGCAACTGCTGACGCACTTGTTGCCAGAGACGGAGCTGATATGTTATCTGATTGGCTAGACCCTTTTGTATCGGTTGCAGACGGCGACATAGATGAGAAAAAATACATTGTTGTGTGATGTGATGGTTATTAATGTTCTGAAGCCGCCTTAAAAAGCCCTGATTAATGTATATCAGGCCACGCGAATAAAATGTCGAATTATGTTTATAGAGATGAGTGCGAAATCGACGTTTTTGCTCGGTCGTCTAAAAGTAGTGCAATTGCTTAAAATTCCCTTATAGGTTGTCGTCTAGCGCGCTTAATTTTCACGGGCCAAACTAACCATTGCATTTAGATATGGTATACCCATAGCAAAGCTATTTCTTTAGAACCTCTTATTTGTTAAGAGACTCTTATACTAGAAGAGTTATCTGACCTTCTAAAATCAGTTGAAATTTGGCATATAAATTAAATTTCGATAGTTGCATTTTTCAAATGGCCAAAAAGCAAACAAAACGTATTTATAAAAATTTACGAAAAAACGTTCACTGGCTATATAAAGTTAAAACTTTCAGAACTTTCGGCTGTCAGACTACAGCCTTCGATGGATAAAAAATGGAAAAGATGACAATTACAAATATATACAAAAATAGGCGCCGATTACGTGACAAATAAGCGCGTGGAGAACCAATCGCGATCGAGAGTTTTGTTATAAATATGATAATAGGCTGAGGCTAATGCATTTACTCTAGATCCCCTGTGAGTTCTTATTACGTCTTCCAAAAAAGTATTCCACATTATAATTATAGCCGGAGGAAAATAAAAAGGCGAATATTGTAAACGCTCCGAATTTGGCAATGCGGTCCTATAAGTTGGACTTCCCACAAAATACATTCGGGCAATAAGTTTTTCTAAACATCTCACGAGCACACACACACACACACAAAACAATTCGGTGTAAAGTGCAGTATTTTTCTTCACGAGTGGCAAAACGTTCCCAGATGCGAAATAAAAACTGAAAAAAAGTATTTGTAGCTTTTGCAGGCGCGTTAAGCGAGAATGGATCACAAAAAGCCATCGCTTTCTCTGCAGTGGTTCATACGAGCCACATGAATAAATACTTCGTAGAATTGATTTCTTCGCTCCGTATCGAGGACGCGTACGAGCGACCCGCAGATAGGATCCATAAAATTACTTCTTCAATAAGAACCGAAAAAACTGCATTAAAAACTACCTACGTTTCAACTCGTCACGTTTGGAAAGTGACAACGACATTTCCTCGCTCACTCGATGTATATTAAAGCTTTGAAGCAGTTTTCAAAAACCATTGACGTGTGTATTTCAGGTCATACAAAAGAAAAAAAAAAGCTAGTATTTTCCAATGGTATCTTTCACGCTCAAAATGTGACGGAACACATTGATAGTTAATAATTATACCAATACACGTCAAACGATAGCTGGCTCCATAAAATACGTTTTCTAGCTTCTTGCTGAACCTTTAAGACCTAGCAACAGCCCTCACTGGTTCGCTTGCCTAAAGATAATCGATTGACTCATACAGAGAAAGATAACAACTCACTCACTGACGAGAAAGTGTTCTGATTCAAGAACGAAGAGAAACTTGACGTAAAGTAACCATTTTGACTGGACATTTCTGCAATTGCACATTTACTTATCGCCAAAGACAGAGTTGGGCTTGATGTTAGTGGGACAACGATTGATATATTATCTGACTGCCTAGACACACTGAGAGTGAATGACGCCGACTCGATTGAAATCAAAGATATACTCTGGCTAACATTTGCAGTTATATTCTGGTATGCTGTAAAACGTGACAATAAAATCTGCGTTAGATTTTCAAGGAATAGCAAAACCTCTGCGCTGCATTCTTGCAATAATTTCATGCATAGACTGCAAACCCTAATATATGCAATTCAATTCTCTAGCAAATTTAAACATGTAAGATGCCGAGGATGTGGTACTACAGGGACAATAACATACAGGGGAGCTAAAAGAGGCAGGTTGCAGTGGTCGTTAACGTGTAGAAGAATGGAGAAGTGCTGGATACACTGACTGCACCACTCGTTGTGTGATATAGCAACGAAGTCCTAAGTAGTCCGAAGAAGTCCGAAGTAGGATTCCAAGGAAAACTACACATAGGGGTGGCATCAATCATACTGTATGAAGCTAGAAAGATCACAGAATGTAGTTCAACACTAAATATGATCGACGTTAATGTTCTGAAACTGCTCTAAAAAGCCTTGATCGATGAAAATCAGGCCACGCGAAAACAAAAATGCTAATACGTATATAAAGTGCCTTTGATGTTTGACACGGAATGTTACTGATTACATTAATTTTAATAGCTATTCCAGTACCAGCCCCCCATGTATTCAATCCCATATATTTTCTAAATTATTGCTGCGCCTTTAAAATAAAGCAGCGACTTTTGCTAGTAACCCTCCTGGTTCGCACTTCGACAAAGAATCTTCTGACTTATGCAAAGAAAGTAATTGACTCACTCATTAACGAGGAAGCGCTCTGAGTCACGAACGAAGAGAAACTCGACGAAAAGAAACCACCCTGACTGAACACTTTTGTTACTGCTGACGTTCCTGTCGTCAAAGGTAGAGTTGGCGTTGGTGTTAGTGAGAGACCTACTGATATATTGTCTGATTGGCTAGACACAGTGGGCCTGAATGATGTGGACTCTGTTGACGACGGCGACGTACTTTGGTTAAGAGTTGAAATGATAGTCTGGGGTACTGCAAAATATGAGAACAAAATCTGCATTAGGTTTTCAACTAAAAGGTAAAAGACTCTGCATTGCTGGAATTCTTTTACGTATAGACGGCAAATCTTCAAATAAATATTTTCAATTCTCCAAGAAATTTTGGCTCTGAAATGCTTCTCTCGACACGCATACTTACACGACATGTAAGATGTGGAAGTTGCTGGGTTGCAGGGACAATAACATACAGAGGAACTCAAAGAGGCAGAAGAACTAGTTGTATTGTTTCCATCGATCGTTGCGTTGTAGAAGATTTGAGAACTCTGGTCAGAGGGGCCGGATGAAATGACTCCGCCACTCGTTGAATGGTATAGCGACGGCGTACTTTGTGACGTCGTTGAAGTAGAACCACAAGGACAAATACACAGAAAAGTCACATCAACCATACTGGAAGAAGCTAAAAAATATCACAGAATACAATTCAACACTAGATGTGATGGACAATAATGGTCTAGAGCAGTCCCAAAAAGCCTTGATCGATGCATAACAGGCCCACCCCAATCAAGAGCAAAAATTACCTCGTGTGGTATCTTTGACGCTTGGCACGGATAGTCACTGATCACATTGATTTTGAATAATTATCCCAATATAAAACCCCTCCCGCCGATTCAATAACCTATATTTTGTAAATTTCTGCCAGATTTTTGAGATGAACCACGCCCCTTCCAAATTTGCTGGTTCACTTGTTAAAAGAGAATCGACCGACTCATGGAGAAAAACTTAACGACTCACCCATTGACAAGGAAGCTCCCTGACTTAAGTACGTCGTGAAACTGGACGAGACCAAATCACCCTGACTGGTCAATTCTGCAACTGCTGACGCACTTGTTGCTAGAGACAGAGCTGGGCTTGGGTTAAGTGACACGCTGGCTGATATATTTTGCGATTGGCTAGACACTTTTGACTCGGTTACAGACGGCGACATACTTTGAGTAATATTTGCCATGATATTCTCTGATGCTGGAAAAGATGGGAACAAAAACTGAGTTAGTAATTCATTGAATAACTTGGATGATGCTGCAGTACTTCTTTTACATTACCCATAGGCTTCCAACTCTCATAGCATTTTTCACGTTTCAGCTCGGTAGGAAATTTTGGCTGTGAGCTAATCTCTTTCGATACGCATACTTACGCAACATGTAAGATGTAGAAGATGTTGTGTTGCAGGGACAATAACATACAGAAGAGCTCAAAGAGACAGAGGCACTAGTTGTATTGGTTGCAGTGGTCGTTACGATGTCGGAGGATGGAGGACTCTCGTCAGAAGTGCTGGATGTAATGATTGCACCACTCGTTGAATGATATAGCAACGAACTACTTTGTGATGTTGTTGAGGTAGGATTGCAAGGACAAATACACATAGGGGTAGCATCAATCATACTGGAAGAAGCTGAAAACATTAGAGAATATAATTCAACACTAAATATGATGGACATAACTGTTCTGAAGCCGCCCTAAAGAGCCTTGATGGAAGGAAGTCAGGCCACGCGAAAACAAAAATGCTAATACCTACATAAAGAACCTTTGATGTTTGACGCGGATTGTCACTGATTACATTAATTTTAAATAATTATCCCAATACAAGCCTCCCATCGATTCAATCAGTTATATTTTTTAAATTATTGCTGAGCCCTTCAAAACAAGCAGCGGCTTTTGCTGGTTACCTTCCTGTTTGGCTTTTCGAGTGAGAATTCAGTGACTTAGGCAAAGAAAGTAATTAACTCACTCATTAACGAGGAAGTGCTCTGAGTCACAAACGAAGAGGAACTCGACGAGAAGAAACCACCCTGACTGGACACTTCTGTAATTGCTGACGCTCTCGACGTCAGAGGTAGACGTGGCGTTGGTGTTAGGGAGACGCCGTCTGATATATTGTCTGATTGGCTAGACACACTGGGTTTGAATGATGTGGACTCTGTTGACGACGGCGACATACTTTGGGTAAGAGTTGATGTGATGATGTGGGGTGCTGGAAAATATGAGAACAAAATCTGCATTAGGTTTCCAACGAAATGCTTAAAGACTCTGCATTGCCGGAATTATTTCATGTATAGACGGCAAATCTTTAAATAAATATTTTCAATTCTCTAGGACATTTTGGTTATGAACTGTTTTACTCGACTCGCATAGTTACACGACACGTAAGATGTTGAAAATGCTGTGTTGCAGGGGCAATAACATACAGAGGAACTCAAAGAGGCAGGACATTAATGGTCTAGAGCAGTCCCAAAAAGCCTTGATTGTTGTATAAAAGGCTACCCGAATAAATCACGCTAATAACTTCATGTGGTATCTATGACGATTGACACAGATTGTCACTGATCACGTTGTTTTGAATAATTATCCCTATGTAAGTCTCCGTCCGCCGATTCAATAACCGAGATTTTCTAAATCTCTGAGAAAGAGCCACGCCCCTTACAATTTTTCTGGTTTACTTTTTGAAAGAGAATCGACTGACTCATGGAAAGAAAGTTAACGACTCACCCATTGACGTGGAAGCGCCCTGACTTAAGTACGTCGAGAAACTGGACGAGACCAAATCACCCTGACTGGTCAATTTTGCAACTGCTGACGCACTTGTTGCTAGAGACGGAGCTGGGCTTGGGTTAAGTGACACACTGGCTGATAAATTTTGCGATTGGCTAGACACTTTTGACTCGGTTGCAGACGGCGACATACTTTGAGTAATATTTGCCATGATATTCCCTGATGCTGGAAAAGATGGGAACAAAAACTGAGTTAGTAATTCATTGAATAGCTTGGATGATCGATGTTGCAGTACTTCTTTTACATTACCCATAGGCTTCCAACTCTCATAGCATTTTTCACGTTTCAGCTCGGTAGGAAATTTTGGCTGTGAGCTAATCTCTTTCGATACGCATACTTATGCAACATGTAAGATGTCGAAGATGTTGTGCTGCAGGGGCGATATCATACAGAAGAGCTCAAAGAGACAGAGGCACTAGTTGTACTGGTTGCAGTGGTTGTTAAGATGTAGAAGAATGGAGAACTACGGCCAGAAGTGCTGGATGTGCTGATTGCACCACTAATTGAATGATATAGCAACGAAATACTTTGTGATGTCGTTGAAATAGGATTGCAAGGCCAAATACACATAGGGGTGGCATCAATCATACTGGAAGAAGCTAAAAAGATCACAGAATATAATTCAACGCTAAATGTGATGGACATTAATGAAAAGTTCTAAAGTCATCCTAATTAGTCTTGATGGATGCAAATAAGGCCACACGAAACAATTGCTAATATTTACATAAAGTACCTTTGACGTTTTACACGGATTGTCAGCGATTACGTTAATTTTAAATAACTATTTCAATACCAGCCTCCCACCGGTCTGACACTGATATTTTCTAAATAATTGCTTAGCCTTTAAATAATGCAGTGGCTTTTGATAGTTATATTCCTGGTTCGTCCTTCGAATAGGAATCCACTGACTTACGCAAACAAAATTATAGCTGATTATTGACTTACTCATTAACGTGGAAGTGGTCTGAGTCACTTCCGAAGAGAAACTCGAAGAGAAGAAACCACCTTGACTAGACACTTCTGTAATTGGTGACGCTCTTGTCGTCGAACGTAGAGCAGTCGTTGGTGTGAGTGAGACACCGACTGACATATTGTCTAATTGGTTAGACACATTGGGTCTGATTGATGTGGAGTCTGTTGGGGACGGCGACATACTTTGGGTAAGAGTTGATATGATAGTCTGGAGTGCTGCAAAATATGAGAACAAAATCGGCATTAGGTTTCCAGCGAAAAGCTAAAAGACTCTGCATTGCTGAAATTTTTTCATGTATAGACGGCAAATCTTCAAATAAATATTTTCAATTCTCTAAGAAATTTTGGCTATGAAATGCTTCTCTCGACTTGCATAGTTACACGACACGTAAGATGTTGCAAATGCTGTGTTGCAGGGACAACAACAAACAAAGGAACTCAAAGAGGCAGAACAAGAATGGTCTAGGGCAGTCCCAAAAGGCCTTGATCGATGCAAAACAGGCAACTCGAATGAATCACGCTAATAACTTCAAGTGGTATCTCTGACTTGTGACACGGATTGTCAGTGATCACATAGATTTTGAATAACTATCCCTATATAAGTCCCTCCCGCCTATTCAAAAACCGATATTTTCTTAATCTCTGAGAAAGAGCCACGCCCTTTCCAGGTGTGCTGGATGTACTGATTGCACCACTCGTTGAATGATATAGCAAAGAAGCACTTTTTGATCTCATTGAAGTAGTATTGCAAGGACAAATACACATGGGAATGGCAGCAATTATACTGGGAGAAGTTAAAAAGATCACAGAATACAATTCAACGCTAAATGTGATGGACATTAATGAAATGTTCTAAAGTCAGCCTAATTAGTCTTGATCGATGCAAATAAGGCCACGCGAGAAAAATTGCTAATATTTACATAAAGTACCTTTGATGTTTTACACGGATTATCAGCGATTACATTAATTTTAAATAACTATCCCAATACCAGCCTCCCACCGATCCAACACTTATATTTTCTAAATAATTGCTTAGCCTTTAAATAATGCAGTGGCTAATAAATATGATGGACATTACTGTTCTGTAGCCGCCATAAAAAGCCTTGATCGATGCAAATCAGTAGAGCAATCAAGTACCTTTGATGTTTGACACGGATTGTCACTGATTACATTAATTTTAAGTAATTATCTCAATACCAGCCTGTCATCGACTCAATCACCTATATATTCTAAATTATTGCTGGGCCTTTAGAAACAAGCAGCGGCTTTTGCTGGTTACCTTCCTGTTTCGTCCTTCCAATGAGAATCCACTGACTTATGCAAAAAAAGTTATTGACTCGCCTCATTAACGAGGAAGCCTTCTGAGTTACAAACGAAGGGAAACTCGACGAGAAGAAACCACCCTGACTGGACACTTCTGTAATTGCTGACGCCCCTTCCTTCTTTGCTACGTTACTTGTTGAAAGACATTCGACTGACGAATGGAAAGAACGTTAACGACTATCTCATTGACGAGGAAGCGTTCTGACTCACGTACGTCGAGGCACTGGACGAGATCAAATCAACCTGACTGGTCAATTCTGCAACTGCTGACGCACTTGTTGCCAGAGACGGAGCTGATATGTTATCTGATTGGCTAGACCCTTTTGTATCGGTTGCAGACGGCGACATAGATGAGAAAAAATACATTGTTGTGTGATGTGATGGTTATTAATGTTCTGAAGCCGCCTTAAAAAGCCCTGATTAATGTATATCAGGCCACGCGAATAAAATGTCGAATTATGTTTATAGAGATGAGTGCGAAATCGATGTTTTTGCTCGGTCGTCTAAAAGTAGTGCAATTGCTTAAAATTCCCTTATAGGTTGTCGTCTAGCGCGCTTAATTTTCACGGGCCAAACTAACCATTGCATTTAGATATGGTATACCCATAGCAAAGCTATTTCTTTAGAACCTCTTATTTGTTAAGAGACTCTTATACTAGAAGAGTTATCTGACCTTCTAAAATCAGTTGAAATTTGGCATATAAATTAAATTTCGATAGTTGCATTTTTCAAATGGCCAAAAAGCAAACAAAACGTATTTATAAAAATTTAC